TTTTTACCATTTAATTTTTCCAAAAAAAAACCAAAAGGGAAACAAACGTAATAAAAAGTTTCGGCTCGGGGGTGGGGGGTTTTTGGGGGCATTTGGGCCTTAATGTTCCCAATAGGGAATAATACAGTGACACTGGGTTTGAGCGACATGCCCCTTTATGACACTGGGTGGCCCGAAAAGCCCACTGAAAAGTTTTTTTTGGGTGTGTATTGTTGGGGGTTTTTTCGTCGGGACCGTTTTTTTGCCCGGCCCGGGGGGGTAACCCCTCCGGAGCCCCGTTTTGTTGACCCGGGGGTGGGTGGGTTTTCTTTTACAGCAGCGTTTGTTCCGGGCCCGTGGGGACTCTGGGAGCAGCTTGTTTTGTCCCTTTTGGGTGGGTACGTCTTTGGGAGCGGTTTTGTTGCCTGGCCTGGGGGGGTACGTTTGACACAGCGTTTTGTTCATGGGCCCGGGGGGGAAATCCCGGCACAGCGGTTTTGTTTCCCGGCCTGGGGGGGGTACTCTGGCACAAGTTTTTTGGGCCCGGCCGTGGGACTCCCCCACAGCTTTTGTTCCTGGGCCCGGGGGGGTTTTCTTGCACAGGTTTTTTTTTCTGGCGGGGTACGTTTTTGGGAGCAGCGTTTTTGTTGGGCCCGGCCTGGGGGGGTTTCTCTTCAGCAGCTTTTTGTTCCCCCGGTGGGGACGGGTTTTCAGCGCGTTTGTTCCTGGGTGGGGGGGCGTTGGCACCCGCGTTTTTCCTGGCCCGGGGGGGGTACTTGGCACACGTTGTTTGCCTGGCCTGGGGGGGTACGTCTTGCAGGGGAGCGTTGTGTTTCCTGGCCTTGGGTACTTGGCCCGCAACGTTGTGTTGCCCGGGCCCGGGGGGTTTCGTTCTGCAGGGGTTGTTTGCCTGGGCCCGGGGGGGTACGTTTTCACCCCGTTGGTTGTCTGGCTGGGGGGGTTTCGTTTCTGGCAAAGCTTTTTTGTTTTCCTTCCTGGGGGGGTTTCTCCCGGGGAGCACCCCTTTTTTCCCGGCCTTGGGTGGTATCTGGCACACGTTTTTCCTCCTTTGGGGGTCTGGCACACGTTTTGCCCCGGCCTTTGGGGGGTACGTTGGAAACACGTTTTTTTTGCCTCCTGGGGTTTAAATCTGGCAGCACGTTTTGTTGCCCCCTGGGGGGGTACTCTGGGACACGTTTTTTGCCCGGCCTGGGGGGGTGCGTCGGCAGCACGTTTGTTTCCTGGCCCGGGGGGGACGTCTGGGGCCCCCTTTTTTGCCTGGGGGGTTTGGGTCTACACACGTTTTGTTGCCTCCGGGGGGACGGGCCTTTACAGCAACGTTGTGTTGCCCGGGCCTGGTTGGGACTTCAGCAAACCCTTGTTTGCCTCCCCGGGGGGGTTTGTCTGGCCCGCACGTTTTTGTTTCCTGGGTGGGGGGGACTCTGGCGGGAAATTTTTTTGGCCTGGGCCCGGGGATACTCTGGGACATGTTGTTTTCCTGGGCCCTTGGGTTTCTCTGGCAGCACGTTGTTTCCCCGGCCCGGGTTGGGGACTCTGGCACACGTTTGTTCCTGGGCCGGGGGGGTACGTTCCCGGGAGCAAACCTTGGTTCCTGGCCTGGGGGGTACTCCCAACACTTGTGTTTCCTGGGCCCGGGGGGGTTTGTCTGGGAGCAGCGTTTTGGGCCCGGGCCCGGGTATCTCGGCAGCACGTTTTGTTGCCCCCTGGGGGGGTACGTCTGGCCCCGGTTTTTCCTTCCCGGGGGGGTATCTCCCCCGCAACGTTGTGTTTTGCCTGGCCTGGGGGGTTTTTTGGCAAACAACCCTTGTTTGCCTGGGCCCGGGGGGCGTCTGACAGCAGGTTTTTTGCCTGGCCTGGGTGGGGACTCTGGGACAGCGTTATGTTGCCTGGGCCCGGGTGGGGACCGGGCTTTGGGGCAGCATTGGGGGTTGCCTGGGCCTTTGTGTACGTCTGGGAGCAGCGTTTTTGGTTTTTCCTGGGGGTGGGGGTTTCGTCTGGCCAAACGTTGTTTGCCTGGCCCCGGGGGGGTACGTCTGGGGCAACGTTTGTTCCTGCCTGGGGGGGGTTCGTCCCGGCAGCAACGTTTTGTTTCCCGGCCCGGGGTGGGGGGTTTGGGACAGCGTTTTTGTTGCCTGGGCCCTTGGGGAAAGTTGGGCAGCCATTTTGGGTTTCCCGGCCCCGGGTGATAATTTTGGGACACGTTGTGTTGCCTGGCCTGGGTGGGTACGTCTGGCAGCAGCGTTGTGTTGCCTGGCCTGGGTGGGTACGTCTGGCAGCAGCGTTGCGTTGCCTGGGTGGGTACGTCTGGCAGCAGCGTTGTGTTGCCTGGCCTGGGTGGGTACGTCTGGCAGCAGCGTTGCGTTGCCTGGCCTGGGTGGGTACGTCTGGCAGCAACGTTGTGTTGCCTGGCCTGGGTGGGTACGTCTGGCAGCAGCGTTGCGTTGCCTGGGTGGGTACGTCTGGCAGTGCAGACGCCTGTGAGATTAGCTCGCAAATCGTCACTTTCTCATTTTACAACGTACATATTTGACGTTTCGCTCAGCGTCAGTTTTCAGACGTCTCGAATTTTCTCCAAATTGTTTCTTTTTTTTCATCTTTTGTTTAATTTGGATTACTAAAGTGTAATTAACACTTTCCAGTGTTCAATAATGACAAGTGTAATTAACACTTTCCAGTGTTCAATAATGACAAGTGTAATTAACACTTTCCAGTGTTCAATAATGACAAGTGTAATTAACACTTTCCAGTGTTCAATAATGACAAGTGTAATTAACACTTTCCAGTGTTCAATAATGACAAGTGTAATTAACACTTTCCAGTGTTCAATAATGACAAGTGTAATTAACACTTTCCAGTGTTCAATAATGACAAGTGTAATTAACACTTTCCAGTGTTCAATAATGACAAGTGTAATTAACACTTTCCAGTGTTCAATAATGACAAGTGTAATTAACACTTTCCAGTGTTCAATAATGACAAGTGTAATTAACACTTTCCAGTGTTCAATAATGACAAGTGTAATTAACACTTTCCAATGTTCAAAATGACAAGTGTAATTAACACTTTCCAATGTTCAATAATGACAAGTGTAATTAACACTTTCCAGTGTTCAATAATGACAAGTGTAATTAACACTTTCCAGTGTTCAATAATGACAAGTGTAATTAACACTTTCCAATGTTCAATAATGACAAGTGTAATTAACACTTTCCAGTGTTCAATAATGACAAGTGTAATTAACACTTTCCAGTGTTCAATAATGACAAGTGTAATTAACACTTTCCAATGTTCAATAATGACAAGTGTAATTAACACTTTCCAATGTTCAATAATGACAAGTGTAATTAACACTTTCCAGTGTTCATAATGACAAGTGTAATTAACACTTTCCAGTGTTCAATAATGACAAGTGTAATTAACACTTTCCAATGTTCAATAATGACAAGTGTAATTAACACTTTCCAATGTTCAATAATGACAAGTGTAATTAACACTTTCCAGTGTTCAATAATGACAAGTGTAATTAACACTTTCCAATGTTCAATAATGACAAGTGTAATTAACACTTTCCAGTGTTCAATAATGACAAGTGTAATTAACACTTTCCATGTTTCAATAATGACAAGTGTAATTAAACACTTTCCAATGTTCAATAATGACAAGTGTAATTAACACTTTCCAATGTTCAATAATGACAAGTGTAAATTAACACTTTCCAGTGTTCAATAATAAACAAGTGTAATTAACACTTTCCAATGTTCAATAATGACAAGTGTAATTAACACTTTCCAATGTTCAATAATGACAAGTGTAATTAACACTTTCCAGTGTTCAATAATGACAAGTGTAATTAACACTTTCCAATGTTCAATAATGACAAGTGTAATTAACACTTTCCAATGTTCAATAATGACAAGTGTAATTAACACTTTCCAGTGTTCAATAATGACAAGTGTAATTAACACTTCCAATGTTCAATAATGACAAGTGTAATTAACACTTTCCAGTGTTCAATAATGACAAGTGTAATTAACACTTTCCAGTGTTCAATAATGACAAGTGTAATTAACACTTTCCAATGTTCAATAATGACAAGTGTAATTAACACTTTCCAATGTTCAATAATGACAAGTGTAATTAACACTTTCCAGTGTTCAATAATGACAAGTGTAATTAACACTTTCCAATGTTCAATAATGACAAGTGTAATTAACACTTTCCAATGTTCAATAATGACAAGTGTAATTAACACTTTCCAGTGTTCAATAATGACAAGTGTAATTAACACTTTCCAATGTTCAATAATGACAAGTGTAATTAACACTTTCCAATGTTCAATAATGACAAGTGTAATTAACACTTTCCAGTGTTCAATAATGACAAGTGTAATTAACACTTTCCAATGTTCAATAATGACAAGTGTAATTAACACTTTCCAATGTTCAATAATGACAAGTGTAATTAACACTTTCCAGTGTTCAATAATGACAAGTGTAATTAACACTTTCCAATGTTCAATAATGACAGTGTAATTAACACTTTCCAGTGTTCAATAATGACAAGTGTAATTAACACTTTCCAGTGTTCAATAATGACAAGTGTAATTAACACTTTCCAGTGTTCAATAATGACAAGTGTAATTAACACTTTCCAGTGTTCAATAATGACAATGTATTAACACTTTCCGTGTTCAATAATGACAAGTGTAATTAACACTTTCCAGTGTTCAATAATGACAGTGTAATTAACACTTTCCAGTGTTCAATAATGACAAGTGTAATTAACACTTTCCAGTGTTCAATAATGACAAGTGTAATTAACACTTTCCAGTGTTCAATAATGACACAGAGACAGAAACTCCGAAGATTAATTGATTTGTATATTTCGATCCTCTTCAGTATGGTCAGCTTGGGCTATATTATGCTACATATAAAAACTTAATCAGCGAGGAAAAACAGGAGGCGTTCAAATTTGAAATTTTTTCCAGTGCTGGTGCGAGGATGTGCCCCTCAGACAAGGCTTCCATTCTTGATTTAAGGCTGTAATGACGCCTCGATTTACACCTTATAGCGCCTGCTGCAGTGTTCCTTCTTTCTTATGTTCTTAATGATAGCCTCATTCTCTCTCTCTCCTAATATACAGGCTAATATTACGAACGATTGTAATAATGCGAGAGAGGAGTTTCGCTCATCTTTGTTATTACAGAATTTGGAAGCTCTCAGTGGCTAGCAGATGTGTCATTAAATAAAGTGTTGTGACACTGGTTGTCTACACCCACAAGTGTACATGTACAGCTGTACGGAGACTTTCCTTACCCCACATTTGTACACATGCAGCTGTACGGTAGCTGTACACTCACATGTGTACATGTACAGCAGTACAGAGACTCCATACCCACACTTGTACACATACAGATGTACAGTGGCTGTCTACACCCAGTAGTATGTACAAGGGTAGAGGGGCTGCGTAAACCATGGTGTGGACAGTGCACACTTGCGTGGGCTGAACAACCCTCAGTGTAATGAATGGGAAGCTGAGCCGTGAGTCGCACCAAGCAAATTATAGACCAGGCGCAAGAACCGAGACGTAATTATAGGCTCAATACCAGACTTCTCCAGGAATTATAGACCATCGAACACATATGCAGATAATTATAGAGGGACCATGATATTCAGTCAAGAAAGGTGAACCGAATCACACCATTCATTCTACTGGAGATTATTGCGTCCTCGGTGTTGTAGACACAACAACAGAGCTATCGTGGTGTCCAGTCCCCAGTTTTAGTGTGTGTGTGTGTGTGTTCGTAGAATTTCATGTGTATTGCTAATCCATAGATATATTTTCCTTTCCTTGCAACACAGAGTTGAGGTGACGGACGAAGTCATCGGGAACAACGAGACCTCAGACAGAGGGATAAGAAAGGAAGACAGAACAGTACGAGGTGGTGGAAGGAAGGCCTGAGGTGCCATGCCACTTAACACCAACGTGACGGTCAAGGCCGTCAGCGCCCCTGGAGGAGGTCAGCACCAACCGAGGAGTCGGCGAGGCTGGCCAATTTCACTCTGGGTACTCTCTACAACGACTCGGGGGTAATTGGGGATCTCTCGTGGGCCGAGGTTACAACGATACCCTCCACGACTACCCCACTGCTCTCAACCTCACCTCAGCCAACGACACCGCACCACACCACCCCAGGATTATTTACTGCACTGAATGGCCTGGGGCAAGCCTCACTCTCTTCCAGGTCAGTACATGTATGTAACCTGTCTGCTTCACGCTTAGCGGACGGAGGATAGAACCTCCATTCCTTAAGCTGATTGATCCGCACGTAGATAAATAACGATATGTATATGTTAATCCCATCTCTAGGATTCAAGTCCTGGAGGTAGAAAGTATAATGACTGCACTTTGAAGGAGGGATGAGGCTGTTACAGTCCGGGGGGTTATTTGAAGTATATCTGCTTACTTCTGCCTATTGGACGAAGGATGATGAATGTGTTTTCTGTTTTATTAGTGGGAAGCAGGCGTGTGTGTGTTAAAGACGACACTATCTTGCTATTTGTTGAGTCAATTTGCATCATCTTTCATCTGAGGATTGCGCACACCTCTACAACACAATTGTCCTCAAAGAAGCAAACGGAAGCAAACAAAGCAAATGTGATACTAATCATGGACAAGGTAGATTATAGGGGGAAAATAAGCATGATATTACGACACATGGAAACTCACGCGCCTCTTGAGGTGAGAGAAGACTGGCGATCCTCACTACAGTATGGCTACAGCGCTTTGTATGACCCGCACAGGTTTAGCGCATGATTTTTTTTTAAATGCAGTTATACTCCCCAGGTGGCCAATTTCTTCTGCTTGCTGGCGTTCCTGGTGCCGCACAACTTCCGCATGTCTGCGCTGGTGATGCGGGCGGTGCTGTGCGTGGGTGTGCTGCTCTTCACATTGTGGGCGGGATTGGATATCTGTGCCGTGGACATCCTAGCCTGGAACCTCAGCTTCCTGCTGGTGAACACGGGCCATGTTCTCTACCTCACCTACACCGTGTGGCCACCTCGAGTCCAGAAGGACCTGGTTGACCTCTACGATAAGGTCTTCAGACCTCTAAAGGTTAGTGTGGGGAGTCGAGTAATGCATTACATTGGGGTCAGACTTTTCGTGGTAACTCACACTGTTGCCATGGACAGAGATCCTGGAGAGCGAAACGTGGCAACAAAAAGAATGTTGCATTAGTTGCACTTGTGTCGTTTTCCCTATCAATAAAGTTGTCTAAGTGTTTGGATGCGTGTCTTCATCAGCTTGTCAGTACTGTGATAACTCAGTACTGTGATAACTCAGTACTGTGATAACTCAGTACTGTGATAACTCAGTACTGTGATAACTCAGTACTGTGATAACTTAGTAGTAGTGATTCACTAAATCACGGAATGAGTGAGGTCGGAACCCTCGGCCAACTGACGAGTCGTTAACGCACTGGCCTGCGTGTTTGAGGACTTACTCGCCTTGGGTTCAGACTCCAACCGTTCCCTGATTTGATCACTCAGGCAACTTTAGAAGATGTATTCTCATTAGTAACCCTGGGGCCATTTTTAGGTGCTTCCCATAAGATGTGGCGGTCCTTACATCAGTATGTGACGGTCCTAAGTATGTGAGGGGGTCCTTACCCCAGGATGTGAGGGGTCCTTACCCCAGGATGTGAGGGATCCTTACATCATATGTGACGGTCCTAAGTATGTGAGGGGTTCCTTACCCCGGGAAATGTGAGGTCTTTACCTCGGTATGTAATATACAACACTCAACCAAACTTGGGTTACTATTTCCTGTTAGACAACGAGTAGCAAGTGTCAGGAGACGAAAAAAAAAATGTCACTTGCGCATGGCCATAAATTTACCTGACAAGTTTTACTGCCTTTTCTTCTGTGTAAAATGTTATCATTATCGACTTTATAAAGCTGTATAAGAGCCAGACGTTACCACAGTAAAAGTTTAGCAGTGTACCTATCCTTTCTGATTACTGGGGGAGGTATGATTGTGTGTCCAGGTGTTCTAACCCACACAGGAGCACCCACAGAGGTGTAATACCCACAGTGCATACATATCTCTCCACTGTGTTGCTGGGTTTAATACACACTTTGTATGGAGGTGAACCGGCAAATTTCCGTCACTTGGTACGGGAGGCGTCGTTGGTATGGCTGGAACCTGGAGAGACGTACGCTATCGAAGACGTAACCCTGCTGACGAGCGCTTCTCCATCCCGTCTCCGGCAAGTGAGTCCTTCATCTGACCTCTCCTGACCTTCCTAAACCTGTACTGACTTCTCCTGACCTTCCTAAACCTGTACTGACCTCTCCTGAAGTTCCTAAACCTTGTACTGACTCCCTACCTTCCTAAACGTGAACGGGAACTTTAAACCCTTTTTCTCTGACCTCTTTTGACCTGCTCAAATCTATAGAGGGGTTCAGCCTCCTTCCCCACCTCTTCTTTCTTCCCTCTTCACCCCTTCCTTTCGAAACCCTTTTTTATTACAAACATATGCACTAAAAAGGCCTGTTATACTTAGTTGTAAATCAAGCTTCTAGACAAGGAACAACCCAAGCAAACAGAGGCAAAGGTAAATACGAAAACTGTAGATTTCGTACCCGTTAATTCGCTTCTACCAATGTATTTACAGTGTTAACAGTATGCAATAAATCAGCCAGATAATAAGTGTGAAGCAAAGGACACTCAAGGGTTGGTTTTCCCGCCTAAAGAACCAGTATTTTAAAGTGTAAAAAACAAAGGCAAAATATCGGTGGAAACAAACACAAATAACTCGCCATAGGAAGAAACTTATGACCACTTTTCGGTCCGACTTGGTGTGACTACAATGGTCCGAGTCGGACCGAAATGTTCCGCCCAAAAGTTCTCCTTGTGCGGGGTTATTTGTGTATTTAAGGTACTCTACAGCCTGAGTGGGCGTGTGTCCCAGCCAGGTGGGGAGCAAAATATAGTTCAGCCGAGGGCAACTGGTTTGAACTGGACAGCGAAACAGAGTAGTGGGCCCCCTAAGCAACCATCTAACGTGAAAAACCACCATTTGGCTATCTGGAGTTTAACTTTTAATTTTTCATCAAAAGTTAAGCACTGGAGCTTGAAGCTAGCTTGAAATTGTTTTGGTAAAAATGGTTGTCTGATAGATGCTTACAAGCGAGTGGTACATGCTTTCCATACTTGTAACATAACGTTTTATATTTACTCAGTAGTAGTGTTGCAACACAAACACTGTCCCCTAGTCCTTGTGGCCAAATACGAAAATAATATGACAGTGAAAATTTAGTTGACCGGAATAGTACAAAAGATAAGTGATCAGTAGTGATCCAGAATGTACAAAATGATACTTGTAAGATATTTGTCGAGTTAGATGATTTTATAGAAGAGAATAACGTATTTTCCTGTATCTTTGGTCTAGACTACACTTGAACTCCCCTTGGTGTTGCGTGCAGGTTTGCGGGACCTGCGACTCCACACACCTGCACTACATCCGCCCAACCAGTTCTTTCGACTCACCAGAGTGGGAGGCTTGTGCTGATGACTCCGACGAGCTCTTCCGGGTACTGCCTGCCATATATATATATAATATATATTATATTATTTAATATATATAAAATAAATATATATATATATATATATATATATATATATATTTTATCAAAAAAACCACTCGGAAGAATAGAAAATTCAAGCGCTTTCGTGACTACTCCATTATGAAGGAACATAGAACATAGTTCCTTGATAAGTGAGGAGTCACAAAGCGCTTGAATTTCTCTATTCTTTCAGATGTTGTTTGAAATTTCGAAATCCCCTGTTAACTGTGATCTTGTTGCATAATATATAATATATATAATATATATATATATATATATATATATATATATATAATATATAATATATATATATTATATATATTAATAGTCGGCCTCTCCCACCGATGGCAGGGGACCTAAAAAAAGGAAGAAAATCCCCAAAAGAAAATACTTTCATCATCATTCAACACTTACCTCACTCACCACATTATCACTGTTTTTTGCAGAGGTCTCAAATACAACAGTTAGAAGCATATACTTATAAAGATACATAAAACTAAGAGAGAAGGAACATTTTTGCAACAGCCCTACTGACCCATGCAGAGCAGGCCCTTATGAACCCCCCTCGGATTACCCAATGACATCCCCCCCGGGGTAGCCCCAAGACCCACCCAGTCTGGCACCTTCGCCCAGTCTGGTCACCTCCACTCAAGGAAGAGCACGCACCACCCCCGCACCAGCTAGTGAGGTCCAACCACACCCCCCCACACCCACTCTGATACTACCTATTTTAAAAACTCACAACTTTAAAGCCTCATAACTGTCCTCGGGGTTGTTCCACTCATCCACACCCCATACCAAACCAGTGCTTCCTATATCCTTCCGAATCTGAATTTTCCCAATTTTGAAACCATTGTTTGTGAGTCCTGTCTTGGCTGGAAATTTTTCAGCACACTATATAAAAATCCCCTTTATTTTTTCCTGTTTTCCATTTATACACCTCGATCATATCCCCCCTAATTCTACGCCTTTCGAGAGAGTGCAGATTCGGGGCCCTCAGTCATCCTCATAGGAAGATTTCTGATACAGGGGATCATCTTTGTCATCCTCCTCTGTACGTTTTCCAGAGCATTATATCAATTCTGTAATACGGTGACCAGAACTGAGCAGCATAGTCTAAATGAGGCCTAACCAAGGATATATAGGTTGAAGAACAACCTGAGACTTCTATTATTTATACTTCTAGATATGAGGCCAAGAATTCTGTTAGCTTTATTGCGAACACTAATGCACTGTTTTGGGTTTTTTAGATTACTGCAACCCAGAACTCCTAAATCCTTTTCCCCAATCAGTAGTATTAAGATTTTACATTATTTAGTTTATTTTGGGCATGGTTATTTAAATGCCCCAACATTAGAACTTTGCATTTGTCAATATTAAACTGCATTTTTGGCCACTTCTCATACCATTGCATCACTCTATTCAAATTATCCTGGAGTGCTCTAGTGTCCACATTAAATGAATTGGACGGCCTTTTATGGTGTCATCAGAAAATTTGCTTATGTCGCTATTTATTCCCTCATCTATGTCGTTTATGTAAATTGTGAACAAAAAAGGGTCCAACACTGACCCCTGGGGAACACCGCTTGTGACTTTGCCCCCATTCTGATTTCTCCCCATTTATGCAAACTCTCTGCTGCCTATTTGTCAGCCATGCCTCTACCCAGGAAAAAGTTTTTTCCTATTCCGTGTGTCTTAAGTTTCCTCAATAGCCTCTGGTGTGGAACTGTATCGAAAGCCTACTGAAGTCCCCTGTACACAATATCATATTCATTACCATGATCTACCTCCTCAAACACCTTAGTGAAAAAAAGTTAGTAAATTCGTAAAATAGGAACGCCCCTTTGTAAAACCGTGTTGAGATTCATTTAAACCCAATCTGTGCCTATCAAGAAATTTGGGTACGAATTGCTTCGGCAATTATTGATTTCCATAAATTTTCCCACTATGGCTTATTGGTCTAAGTTCGAAGCCAAGGACATGTCACCTGCCCTTTTAAATAGGTATTACATTTAGCCAAAGGTATGCTAAGTTCCTCTTTACATTCCTTTAAAACCCTTGCAAACAGTTCATCAGGTCTGGGGATTTGTTTTGGTTTTAGTTTCCTCTTTGTCCTGAAGGGCCATGTCACTAGTTACCGCAATCGTGCATTTTTATTATCATCCTGTTCTACATAATCTATTATTTCAGAATATCACTAGTATTTTCCTGGTGAAAACTGAGAGGAATTATGTAAATTTAGAATTTCACACATATCCTTATCACTGTCAGTGAACTGACCAGAGTTACTCTTAAGTGGGCCAAAACTGTCCCTAATCTACTTCTGTATACCTGAAAGAACCCTTTTGGTTTGTCTTTGAATCCCTTGCGACCTTTGCCTCATAATTACTTTTTGCTTTTCTTATTCCTTTCTTTATTTCTCTCTTTAATTGAATATATTGATTACTTAACTGCCATTCCCTCTTTTGATACGCCTATAATGCCTCTCTTTTTACCAATGAGATGTTTTAATCTATTGTCATCCATTTGGGATCATTTTTGTTAGATCTAATTTCCCTACTCGGAACAAAAGTTGTTGGGCACTAGAACTATGCTCTGAAAAACGTCATATTGGCAGCCAAGATCACCTACCTGACCCATAGTCAGAACATCCCCAATTAGTCCACCCAGGTAAATTTTTCAGTCCCATGAAGTCGGCCAAGTGAAATCTGGGACAGAGATTTGATTGCAGTTATATGGGTAATTCCAAGCTCATCATTAACCTCAAGATTATTAATTAGTAAATCTTTGTTGGCAAGAACCCAAATCAAGCAGATTGTTTCCTCTAGTTGGTTTCTGTCACAACTTGTTCTAAAAAGCAATCCTGAATCGTATCAAGAAAGTCACTAGACTCAAGATTTCCTGCCATATTGTTCCAATCAATTTGCCTAAAGTTAAAATCTCCCATTATCACAACATTTTCATATCTAGATGCCTTATGAGTTTCGTCCCATAACAGCTTACTGTCCTCCCTATCAAGGTTTGGGGGCCTATAAAGCACACCCAAAATTAATTTGTCACGTCCCTCGAGAAACTGTAGCCAAACAGATTCTGTTTCGGGGTTTCTAATCTTATATCATGTCTAAGACAACAATTTAAATTTTTTCTGACATACATCGCCACCCCCCCCTTCCTGTTCACCCCTATCAGTGTGGAAAAAGTTTATAAACCCCGTAGTTGCATTCAGAAGGCATTTCTTTATCTTTCAGGTTGAACCAGGTCTCTGTTATACCAATAATATCTATATTACCTACACTTGCAAGTAATCTTAGCTCATCTATTTTATTTCTTAGACTCCTACTATTTGTATAGTAAACCTTAAGGGAGCTAGTCACTCGTTGCCCTCTACATCTCTCTTTGTTTGTTGATCAAATTTTTTTTGCCATTACTAGCAACTTGAATATTGTCTTTTAAACGTATCCCTGAGGTATCCCGGTAATAACTACTGCTTTTAACCCTAATACTGCAGCCTGATTGTTTCCCACAAACACCCATACCTCTATAATCTTTCAGTTTAAATTCCTAGACAAGTCATCAGTTACCCTCTCAATCGAATTGGCTAATGCAACCACCCCCATCCCCAGAGAGAAAGACCCCATCCCTTGCAAAACATATCACGTTTGCCAAAGAATAGGGCCCAGTTTATCAATGAATGGGATTGCAAGTTCCTTGTAGTACCTGTCTAGTCAGCAATTTAATACCAATTGCCCTAGACATCCATTTCATTGCCCACTCTCTTTCTAGGCAAGATGCTGCATATGACTGGATCCCTCCCTTAACCTAAATACTTCTATGGCTAACCTGTACTTATCCAGCAGCTCCTCTCTCCTGCCCTTCCCCAATATCATTACCCCCAGCACTAAGAAAAGATAATTTGGGGTTGTTCCATTACCTTCCTAATATTATCCAACCTGCTGACTATGCACCAGCTCCAGGAAGGCACACTCTCTGTCTGACCTTTCTTCTCTGTTACAAAATGCACGGTCCCCTATAATCTTACCGAGAGTCTCCTACTACTAAATTTTTCTTACCTTGATTAGCAGGGGAATCCCGTGGTACCTTCACTCACTAACCACTGAAATACACTCGTCTTGGAGAACAGAGAATCGATTTCCTACCTTCACATCTTCTCTATTAATTCTCCTCATCTTCCCTTTTTCCTGAACGTGAACCACTTGCCACTTAAAGCGGCTGCCACTATCACTGCTGGTGACCATTTCCTCCTTACCAGCTAAATCCTTCTCACACTCACTCCCAAACTCATCTATGCGAAGCTTCAGCTTCCTATTTTCCTCCTGAAGAAGTAGAATCTCCTTCTTCAACACTTGAAGCTGAGATTCTAAAACACTACAACAAGCCATGGTGCTTGGTAACAGCCCACGCTAACTCCCAAGAGCTTAGGCAGGTGTGACCACACGTGACCACTGACCTCAGCGTACTGCCAATATCCCAAACTCCTCCTTTAAAGTGCATTTCCAGGACTCAAGTCCAGCTATATAAAAATAACCAGTTTCCCTGAATCCCTTCACTAAATATTACCCTGCTTACACTCAATAGCTCGTCAGGTCCCAAATACCATTCGTCTCCATTCACTCCAATCTAACATGCTGACGCACGCTTGCTGGAAGTCCAAGCCCCTCGCCCACAAAACCTCCTTTACCCCCTCCCGCCAACCTTTTCGAGGACGACCCCTACCCCGCCTTCCTTCCCCTACAGATTTATACGTTCTCCATGTCATTCTACTTTGATCCAGTCTCTCTAAATGACCAAACCACCTCAACAACCCCTCTTCAGACCTCTGACTAATACTTTTATTAACTCCACACCCCTTTTCCTAATTTCCACACTCCGAATTTTCTGCATAATATTTACACCACACATTGCCCTTAGACAGGACATCTCAACAACGAGTGGTATGATCGTTTAAA